CCCCAAAACCCCAAAACCCCAAAACCCCAGGAGATAAGAAATTTTTATTTGTAAGAGCATTGTTATTTAAATAGTTATAAGGAGCATCATATAAGTTTAGAATTCTTGAGAACTTGTCTAACCTTATACGAGTCCCTAAGGAAGGGTCTAACATCTTCCATTTTAGCTAGATCTTTGAGTTGTTCAATGATGGCTAGAAGGTAGCTGTCTTTTTATCCATCTACATTGTCCAACTCAGCGTTATATTTAACAATAGGAAAGCCATTCTCAGGGCAAAGCAGGAAGTTAAGAGGTTGAGGGTCCAGCATGATTGACCTTGCCATATCACGATTCTTAAACCTGCTAATATCCTTTACCATTTAGAAGATGTCTTCATCTTTTTTCTCAAAGATATAACAGGCTGGCTGGAATAATCTGATTTGAAAGATTTCATTCTTGGGATCTAAAAATGATAGTAGCATATTGGTATATTCAGGAACTCCAGAAGTGTATAAGATGGGCTCAATGATGTTCTTATTTTACTTCAAGAAATCTAAAAATTCCTGCATATGATCTCTATAATACACATGAATTGGTATCTGCCTTCCTGAAGGTTCTCCAAACAGTAATTTATGCTCTGGTTCTTTGGCAGCAGGATCAGCCATGAAACCAAAGTTTTCATCATAGATAAATGTATGCAACAGCACGTCATCTATCTCCATAAACACAGTCAGAGTATCCTTCTTAGTCTTATCTGGGATTAGGACATTCTTGTCTTATATTCTCAAATACTGGAATATTCTTTTTCTTTGCTAGGTGTCCTCAAGAAAGTTTAGCTGCTTTTTCTCTTGCTTTCCCGAGATAATTGGGGAATTTAGTTGGTCTGCTGCTCCCGACTCCTCGACATCAGACTCGTAGTCACTATCTTCTCCCTTGGCAGTAACTAGCTTCTTTTAAATGGCAACTTAGTCCTCAAAAGTCATGTTTTTCTATTTTTCCACCTATTACGTGAAATTAAATTGTCTTCTCTTAGAAATTCTTCTTAACTAAACATCTGTATTGTCTAAGATCAATTATTCATTTGGGTTTAGGACACACAAAAAGCTTTAAAGCTACTCATTTATCTTGTCATGTTAATCAGGGAATTTAGCCAACAATTCTCTGTATCTGTTTGTAACATTTGCTATTGTTGAATTATTAATTCCATGTGCTTATGGCTCTTCGGAGATGCTTTTAATTTATATTACTCCTTATTTATGATCAGCTACAACATCTTTGACTGCTCTCCATACCTCTTAAACTTTCATTTATTTGCTCATTACCCCAAAATTCTTCTTATAACTAATCAATTTCTCATTAACAAGGTCCTCGTAGTCAATTAAATCGCCATTTTAATCCACTTTAGGTAAATTCTATGTTCCTTGAGTTATGATTTCAATAATTTCTTCATTCGTTAAAATATCTTTTTTATTTCCTAGTACTTTCAAGGAGAAATTGAAGAGCTTTGCTCTTTATTAAGTTTGAACTAGAGTGCTGTATCTATGCATGTAATTGCGTATAGGAATTTGATTTGTGAAGAGAGCCCTAAAAATGCTTTTATTAATTGCTTTCATTTCTATGGCAGGAAATATTTAATATTAACCTATTTAAAATATATTTGCTTTTATCTACATCATTCAACTAAAAACTATAACTATATCTGATGGGGTTTTGGGGTTTTGGGGTTTTGGGG